TTGTTCTAATCTAGCTAAATGGCCCTGGAAATACAGTCCGTGGTTTGCTCGATAAAGGCAAGTAGAAAATCATAATGTTCTCATCCAATTTCCAACTCATACATCGTGTTATGGATTTTTTTTTTCTGCTAGCATTTCTCCAGTCCACTAAATATTCCAGACATACAAGAGTCTTCATTTGATTCATTCTAATAACTTTTTTCATCAATATGACTTTTGAGAATGCATTGGTATAGCAAATTAAATATTATTTATGACTTTAATTTGTGTCCTATTTGGATTTTACATTCACAGGGCCAACTTGGCTATCATCATTATCATATTGTTTTAGACTACTCCTAAAATTAAAATCCACTCTCGTCTTTAAATGTTTTATTGTGCTTGTCGTTCTTGTTTTGTGCCGTATCGAACATGATTAATTCTGTTAGCCAAGTGCATATGGCCTGCCTGGCCACCATCCATTTCCTTCATCACGGCTGCCTGTGAGTGAGTACTTTATTATTACTTTTTTCATCTTTTCAATTACCAGATGTGCTTCCTCATTCTCGGAGCTTCAGCACTGTCCAAATCCAAGCCTTTGCTGTGGCTTTTGAGTCCAGTGCAATCGGCCCTGGCCCCAGCCTCCTCCCATGCCTCCCTTCCCCTTACCCACCACGCCAGCCTCCCAGCTTCCTGTTAGTTGCTGGAATACACCAAGCTCTTCCCTGCCTCTGGGCATTCCAACCTCCCCTTCCCTCTGCTGGTAACACTCTTCCTTCACTTTTCCCGTGACCAGCTCCTTTTCCTCTTGCAGGTCTCCTCTTTGAGAGGTTTTCCTGGACCCTTCTCCAAATGAAGCACCGTCACCATCGCCACCTCCCCCATTCTTCTGTATCAGGGGCCCCACCGTTTCTCCTCCTAGCATGTATCTCTGTTTGTAATATTTCTTCATTCATTCCTTGTGTATTGTCTATCTCTCTGCTGTACCAGAGCAAAGACTTTGTCTGCCTTGTTCACTTCTGTGTGCCAGGGACTAGGACATATAGAAAGCTTAGGTCCGCTAAGAAGAGAGGGGAAGGGGTGGGGAGGAAAGGAGTTGGCAGCAAAACATTCCAAATCAGAGGATGTCAGGACCCAGATATTCTTCAGAAATCTCCTCTGCCTGCGCATTCCCTTCCAGAATGTCTAGGGGAAGTAGAGAATGACAAACACTTGCCCAGACACTCTGGCGACTCCTGAACTGGAAAAAGTTAGTACCAAGGGCATAAGGGGGTCTTGGGGCTCCATGGCTCCTTTGGGGGATTTTTTTGGTGATAGAGTTAAAATGACACTGCACTGAGGGCTGACAACACCAGAAAGGGTTGTGGTCTCTCAATTTCCCATGAAGTACTTAGAAATAATCACGTGTAGATCTTGGCTTCTAAATACCATTCTGCACTAAAACGAACCAAGCTTCCTTAGAAAAATGACTGACCTCAGGGCTTGGACAGGAAAAACATATAAGATGAGCCAGGAATATTTTTCATGCCAAAAAAATAAGAAAGCATTCAAAGGATGATGGAAAGATCTTCAAAAATATGGATGCCAGTGTGAAAGAGTTCCCACTGGCCAAATCTGGGACTGTTAAGCAATGAAGTACATAGTAATCATAACGGATTACAACCCACTGAATAAAATAAATTATAATCCTTGGGTGCATTCTGATATAAAATAAATAAATAAATAAAACAGATTAGAAGTAAAAGACGGAATCACCTGGCAATCAGAAATCCAGGCACACTTGCCTTTAAATGCCAGTTCTGCTGAGCAGGAGCTGGACATCCTGATGAGGAGTTGCAGCAGCTCTCTACCCATCTGTGCATGAGACAACACCGGCACCTTGCTCACAGGCTGCCTTGAGAAATAAATGAGTGGATCACCATAATGGAAGCACTAAGCACAGTGCTTAGCACCCGGGAAACACACATGACCGTCGCCAGTCTTGTTGTTATCATGATTATTCTTGTTACTGCCCTGGACACTGACAGAAAATAACTAAATCACCCACATGAACCGTCTCACTCCATTCCAAACAATTTGCATTATTACTATTATACAAATAATTCAGTAGAGGCCACAGCTGAGGCATTCACAACAGGACTTCTGAGGTGTTCTAAGAAGCTCTGTTCTAGGTTTTAGGAGAATCTTCAGCTCTCTCCTGGATTCTTCTATGTCTCCCTACAGTAAAATGCAATGTCAGCCCAGTGCCTAGGGGACTGACTTATTGTTCCTATAAATCCTTTCCTTCCAAATTGGGCCCTCTCAGGGTCAGCAGCCAGGAGCCTCATAACCAGCTAAATGAGACAGGAACAGAGCTAAGCCTGAAGTCCCCACGCCCCTCAAAAGCAATGGTTCCTGGTAGTTGTCCGGTACTTCCACCCAACAAGGAACCATCTCCCCTTGGTTTTGTTTACCTCATTAAAGAGTGTGCAGGGAACTTCAGAGAAGGAAGCTGTGGCTTCTGAGAGTTTCATAACTTGCCCAAAATCACACAGTGGACCAGAAACAAGTTCAGTTCCGCTCTTAGAAAATCCTACCTTTGATATGATTAAGTCCTTACAGAAACTGTACACACCAAGGACTATGTTTGGGTCCTTTGAAGAGAGCACTGGGGCTTGCCCTGAGCCATACAGAGAATAGGTGGCAAAACCAGCTATGTTGAGCCTAGGGTCCTCCAAAACACGGGCAGAGTCTAGAGGGGCCTTGACAGAGAAGCAGGTGCAGGATGGAGGCAGACCCAGGGTTTTGGCTTATGGGGACAAGGAAAAGCAAAGTGATTGAGCAGGTTGCATGGGGCCAGGACTTTTGGCCAAATGAAAAGGATTTTCCTTTTTGAAGAATGACTTGAATTCTGATGGGCCTGGGTTAAACTAATAGCTCCTACATTTAGGATTATATTACCTTGGACAAGTTACTTAACCTCAGTTAGCCTGTGTTTCTCCATTCATCAAATGGGCTTGTATTAATCCCACCAACTTGGTGAGTGCTACCCTGTCCCTTCTTGTGCTTTGCGCTAAAGATCACAGTTAGACATGGAGAAAATAACTAAATCACCTACCCGAACCATTTCACTCCATTCCAAACAATTTGCATTATTACTATTATACAAATAATTCAGCAGAGGCCACAGAGGTTGCAGGCTGCAGCCAATAAGAACAATAATGAGATTATTATGTTCTAAATTACTTATTTATTTTAGCTTCTTTGGAAATCAGAATGCATCTTAGAGGTGACATTCTTACAATCAAGTGGCAGAATTTTTTTCTTTCTTGGTGCATAAAATAAGCAACACAGCTAACAATAGATGATACCTTACATATGAGAAAATATGGTAATGATTATTAAAATTTTCTTAATACTTTCTATGTGCAAGGTACTATGCTGAGTGTTTAATGGGCATCATCTAATTTGATGGTCTGCGAGATAAATTCAATTAGAGTCACTTCACCAATTGATATGGTTTGGCTCTGTGTCCCCACCCAAATATCATCTTGAGTCATAATCCCCATGTGTCAAGGAGGGATCTGGTGGGAGATGACTGGATCATGGGGGCAGTTTCCCCCATGCTGTTCTTGCGATAGTGAGTGAGTTCTCACAAGAGCTGATGGTTTTAAGGCGTGGCACTTCCTTGCTCTCTCTCTGTTTCTCTCTCTCTCTCATCTGCCACTGTGTGAGACATGCCTTGCCCCCTTTGTCTTCCGCCATGATTGTAAGTTTCCTGAGGTCTCCCTAGCCGTGGAGAATTGTGAGTCAATTAAACCTCTTTTCTTTATAAATTGCCCAGTCTCAAGTAGTTCTTTACAACTGTGTGAAAATGGACTAATACACCGATGAAGAAACTAAAGGACAAAATTATTAAGTAGTTTACACGAAGTCACATACCTAGTGTATCAGTCAGGATTGTTCAGAGAATCAGAACCAATTAGATAGACAGATAGATCGATACATAATAGATAGTGATTTTACATAATCTATTTATAAATCTATATATTAGGTATACCTTATATATACATACATAGACACCTGTATTAGCCCATTCTCATGCTGCTATAAAGAACTGCCCATGTCTGGATAAGTTATTTTTAAAAAGAGGTTTAGTTGACTCACAGTTCTACAGGGCTGGGGAAGCTTCTGGAAACTTAAAATCGTGGTGGAAGGGGAAGCAAACATATCCTTCTTCACATGGCGACAAGAAGGAGAAGAATGAGAGACAAGCAAATGCGGAAGCCCCTTATAAACCATCAGATCTCGTGAGAATTTACTCACTATCACAAGAATAAAAGTACGGGGGAAGCTGCCCCTATGATTCAATTACCTTCCACCAGGTCCCACCCACAACATCCAGGGCTTATAGGAACTAGAATTCAAGATGAGATTTGGGTGAGGACACAGCCAAACCATATCAATACCCCAAAATATGTACATAGATTTATTATTTATCAAGATATTTGTTATATATAAAGAGATTTATTTTACATATAAAATACATATATACAGTATAAATTACATATATACCTCTCCAGTTCCAAAAACATGTTATATACTCTCTCTCACTCTCACTGTCTCTCTAGATCTTTCTAGATCTCTCTCTATAGATACATCTATAGATCTAGAGAGAGTGTGCGTGTGTGAGAGAGAGAGAGTACATAGCATGTTTTTGGAACTGGAGAGGTAAATATCAGAAGAAACTATCAAAATAGTTGAAAGTGTTTGCTTCGTGGATCAGGAATCAAGAGAAGGAAGTTCAAACACAGGGCTGGTGTTTTTCACTATGTAGAACATATAGAACAATTTGATTTTAAACTGCATATATGTATCACAACAATTAAAAATTAAATTAGCGTTTAAAAAAGAAAGCAAGCTTCCAGCACAGTGAGAATCTGGGGGACCGACCACCAGTTTACCTTCTCTAACTCTTCCTTCAAAATCTCTCTGCTCCAGTTTAACAAGCCTCTTCCACCCTGGTGTCTCTGTCTTCTCACCTAGAGAATGGGACTGCAGAGCTGCCTGGAATGCCAGCAAGTGGACCCACGTGGCAAAGTACTTTCTGATCTTTCTCTCCCTTACAGGTCATCATAGTAAATGTGTTGTGCCCTAATCAGAAGCGAAGGATACAGAAAACCAGGTATGATGTGGCCTCTGCTGGCCTCTCCAAGGACATCTCAAGCCACTCTCCCCAACCCTGATACTGGCCTGCCAAGCTCTTTCCCAGCTCAGGGCCTTGGCAGGCTCTTCCCACTGCTTTGGACATTGTCCCCATTCCCGCATCCCCTGTAGCTGGTTTTGCCTCCTGCTGCAAATTTAATTTGCAGGTATGGCCTTCCTGCAGAGGTGTGGCCATCCCTAACCAAAATAATTAGGCCCTCATTCCATGTTCTCCTCTCCCTTCTCAAAACATAAGAGTATCACATTTTAAATGTGATACTGGTTTACTTGTTTGTTGTCTATTGTTACTCAATAGATTGTAAGTCCCATGTGGGATAGGAGCAAGTTCATTTTATTTTTAAATTTTGCGTAGCACCTGGCAAACAACAGGCCCTCAACTGAATGAATGAGAGGAGAATGGTGGAAGCTAAATGTCACAAGAGGCCACTGTGTTTACACCAAGCCCCTATATGCCTCAGTTAGTTTTGACCAGGTCTCCACTTGACTGAGTCCTCAGGCATAAAAGTCTCTAGTTTAGGCATTAACATGGAAGCATGACATCAATTATTTGCAGTGTCCTGGAGTTCATAGCAGTTAACACTTTACATACAGCATGGCTATGGTCTGATGCCTGTGTCCTCCCAAAATCCATATGTTGAAATCCTAACTCACAAGATGGCATTAGCAGGTGGAATCTTTGTGAGGTGATTAGGTCTTGAGAGTAGAGCCCTCACGACTGGAATTAGTGTCCTTACAAAAGACCCCAGAGAGCTAGCTTGCCTCTTCGACGATGGGACACAGCAAGAAGGTGCCGTCTATGTATGAACTGGGAAGCAGGACCTCACCAGACACCAAATCTGACCAGTGCCTTGACCTTGGACTTCCCAGCCTCCTGAACTGTGAGAAGTAAATGCCTGTGGTTTATAAGTCACCCAGCCTATGATATTTTGTCATAGCAGGGCCCATGTGAACCAAAACAAGTACTCACTCTAGGCCAGATCCCATTCCAAGCAATTTACACACAGAAACTCACTGGATTCTCATCACAGCTCTACTAAGTGGGTGGAGTTTTTAATCCCCATTTTACAGATGAGAAAACTGAGACAACAGAGAGCCTAAGCAAGTTTCCCAATCCACGCAGTTGGTATGTCAGGATGCAGACCCAGGGACTGGCTCCGGAGTCTACAGTCAACCACTGCACGACGTCCACGAGAACAACAAAGTCAGGTACGAAACATGATTTAGCTTGCCTTGTGAAATGCACTCACTGCCATTACAAGCCCTCACTGTGTGCTAGACACACTCCTGGGCATTTTTCGTATTTGTCTCCTTAGTCCTTTAACACTGCCATCAGACCAAACGATCATTCCCGCTTACAGCTGCCAAAATCCCCAGGGTCTCTTGGCAGGTGAGTTGAGAGCTGCCATTTGAACCCAGGATTCCCTGCCTTGAAAGCCCATATGCATTTTCTGCTGCTTCTTGTGCTTTTGTGCCGGAAGAAGAGGTGTTGGAGGGTTGAGCAGAGCGAAAGAAAGAGAAAAATCAGCCAGTGTCTCCACTAAACATTTCTAATGGCAGGGAGTTAGGTAATGGAGTACATCCCACACATAATGACAGTCACTCCAGCTTGGAAGGAGAAAGCCATTATACCTCCTTCTAAGAATAGACGTCAGCATAATTGAAATGACAATTCTTGTAATCCTCAGATAATAAAGATTATTTTGAAATGAAAATCTTTTTCCGTTTTTCTTTTCTTTTTCTTTTTTATTTACCTACTTGCAAAGACATTTTTCTTTTCAAAGGAAGGTCATTGAGGTCTCCCTCGACGGAAGCCCCACGTTCTTTCTGAGCGGGTAAGTCCACCTCGATCGTCCATGCTCTGACGCTGGGTGGCTTTGATTCCGAGTGTTGCAGGGGTGTGGCTAGAGGGTGGATAGAGGATTCGGAGCCATGGCAAGTTTTCCAGGAACGAGAGACGAGGTGACCTACCGGGTCTCTCTCCATCAGCCTCAGAGCCCACGGGCAGTGGTGGAGGAGAAGGAAATTCATCTCCGGAAACTGCTCTCCCGGAGGCCACCTGAAGTCGAAGACAGAAGTGAGATTCAGAAGCCGCTCCAGGGTCACACTGTCTGTCTCTGGATCTTAGGGAAGGAGCTGCCCCTCGCAGTCTCACCTGCGAATCCACTCTATCTCCTCTATCTTCTGTCGGCTGTGTGGCTTGTACTCACCTTCCTGAAATTTCTTTCCCCTTCCCCTGACTAGAATTTTCTGCTTCTATCAATATCCGGGAACTTGAGGGAAGGCGTCATATATTTTTATCTTCTGTTACCAGTAGAATTGTGCCCCCACCAAAAAGACATTAAAATCCTAACTCCCAGCGCCTGCGAATGTGACTACATTTGTAAATAAGGTCCTTGCAGATATAAGTAGTTATGATGCGGTCCTACTGGACTAGGCTAGGAGCTAATCCAATAAGACTGCTGTCAGAATAAAAGGGGATATCTGAACACAGTCGGGCACACAGGGAACACACCCTGTGAAGAGCAGAGTTCTGCAGCCACAAGCCAAGGAGCTACCAGAAGCTCAGAGGGAGGCCTGGAACGGAGCCTCCCCAATGCCTTCAGAAGGAGCACAGCCTTGCCCACACACTGACTCATGCGTCCAGACTGCAGCCCTGGGAGGCAGGAAACCTGCTGTTTAAGCTGCTGTTTTGCAGCCCTGTGTTATGGTAGGCCTGGGAAACTAATACAATGGGTCATGTTATTTGTCTCAATTTCACAGATGGATAAGTTGAGACTCCAACAAAGGGAGCCACCCAAGATCTCATGGCAGGTAAGAGAGAGTGGGACTGAACTCAGCTCAAGCTGACCCAGGGCCCCAGGGACCGAGGCTGTGGGAACCTGGTTTCTGGCTAGGACTTCGCAAAGGGCCTCAGGAGCACAGCTCGGAGACTCTCTGCAGCTGAGCCCCTCTGGGGGAGAAGAGGCCGTGGAGCTGCTGGCCTCTCTGATGGGTGGGAAATAAGCCTCAGGGCCAGCCTCACGCTTCCCGTGATCTTGTGCTCTTCACCTGCCTTGCTCAGGAAAGCTAGGGCCCATCTTTTAATTCCCCCTGTTAGACTAGTCCCCGTTAGAAACATGAACCCAAATGTGGGACTTTCTAATCTTTGCGGGACACTTCAGGGTCTGCTAAGAACCAGGCCCTCTCTGCAGTCACACACAGCAGCAACGAGAGCAAGACCTGGGGGTGGGTTTTCTTCCAACCTGGGGGCGGGTTTTCTTCCACGTGGTTGAAAACAGTTCCATCCCAGTGGCTGGGGCAGCCAGGGCTAGGCGGAACTAGAGGATCTCTCTCCGAGACACAGGCGAAGGGCTGGGGGAACCCGTTTCAAGGACCGTAAAGTCCTATCCAGGCGCTGGTGCCTGCCTTGGCTTTAAAACAGCCTCCTCCTTGTCACCTGTGCATCTTACCTGCACAAACTGCACCATGGACCCAACGTGTCCCCACTCCTCGCACACCTGCCCTGCACACTCCCCCCACATCTCTACACCATCCTGAAGAGATGTCATCTTGTCCTCTCATGGTTCCTAGCTGAGCCAAGTCACAATGGCGTTCAGAAGGCAGTTCCGGCCTCATAAGGAGAAAGGAGACACTTGGTGGGGTAGAATGAGCACAGGGGAAGCAGCCCAGAAAGCCACATTCCCATCCTGTCCCCACCTGCCACGATTTAGCTCTGTGCACCTTGCCTCCACCCCACCTCTTCTTCTGACCAACATCTAAACCTCCTTCAAGATTTAGCTCAAGCCTTGCCCTTGCAAAACCTTCCAGGCCTCGCCACCATGCACAGCCTGGGCAGGTTGCCCACAGGCCCCACGTGCCCTTGGCACACTTACCCCCTGTATTATCAGTGTCTTGGTGCTGTTTGCCAACCTGACTGTGGGCTGCTGAGTTGGGGGGGGGGCACTGAAAATTGCCAGTCTATGCTGATGTATTAGAAGTGACCCAAGGGGCAGTCCACGAGCTGGCAGAGGACTTTGCCTGCATGGTGGCCTGAACTCCATCCCTCATTATTCGATACTTGAGTAGGGCTGGGCAGTACCTGGGAGAGTCACATTATAATTGGGAGCACTGGCCATAGGGCAGGCTGCCTGGGCTCAAACTGTGGCTCTGCTACTTAGTCGTTGTACAGAATCTTGAGTATGCTGCTTAAAAGCCCTGTGCCTCAGCTTCCTCGTCCATAAAATGGGAAGACTACAAGTGACTCTTACAGAAATTATGTGGGTCAAATCCACATAAAGCACTTGGGAAAAGGTCAGGCACACAGTGAGTGCTCAGTAAATGGCAACTTTTCTTCTCATTGTTGACCCATCTTTCTTTCCAACATCCGGTACATAAGTCAAAGGCAAATGATCTTACCACAGCAGAAGAGTCCCCTTGTTTATAAAACAAGGGGATTAAATGAACCGATCATCAACCTCTCTTCCATTCTGTTTTCTGATTCGGAGGTGCATTTCAGACTGCCGTGCAAAGTCCTCCTCCAGTCCCCACGATTGTCCCCTTCCAGCACCAAACCAACACACCAGCATGCAGAGGCAGGGAGGCCACAGTGCAGGAAGGGACAACTCCTGCCAGCAGACAAGCAGAAGCATTTGTGCTGAGGTTTACAATGGTTCGTAGAAGCCTTGCAGGCTGGTCTGTTTCATGACACCCAGGTAGGCATTTTGTTTATGCCCAGAAACCTGAATGGTGACAATTAGTTTCCAGCTCTGTAACACTGTCCCCTTCAACCAGTCAGGTCCCACCCTCCCTGCTCATTAGGGTGAAACTCTTGTTAGTGGCTTTGCAAGTTGGGGGACGGGAAATCATCAGAAGCGGGTGGGTGAGCTCCTGCAAGTGTAGACGTCTCACTTCTTCCCAAGGCAGCCCACGGCCCCCTCCTCTCCACCTCCCTCATGCCAAGCTTACCTCCTCTCCCTGGGCAGGTGGGGCAAATGCTTATCATCTGCCTAATTGTGGAACATGATAATATGCTAGATTTCAAAATAATTAGGCTGATGGTAATGAGGGTTTGATGGTTTCTGCGCAATTAGACGGATGGACACAAACACTTTGTTTTTAACCTATGCTGGGGCTAATGACCTCAAGTGGGAATATGGCAGTGCTGCATTTTAAAAGGAGGAAAAAAATACCCTGGGAACCTCAAAGAAAATAAATCACAGGGCGGGCTCCTTCCCACAGGTTCGTTGCTCTGGATACCTGACCAGATGTTCCCCAGACATCCATAATGAGGGATTTCAGGCCAAGGGGGACGTGGCGTCAGAGGAGCTAGCTCGCTCTGGGTTTGAATCCTTTCTGCTGCACCTTTTGCTCTGCAACATGGTGCAAGCCACTTATCCTTGCAGAGTTTCAGGTTTTCATCCATAAAATGGGGATGATAACATCTACTGTGCAGGGCTCTTGTGAGTTCCTGGCACCCAGTAAATGTGTGATAAAGATTTGGTGGAGGCCAGGCGCAGTGGCTCACGCCTGTAATCCCAGCACCTTGGGGGGCAGATCATGAGGTTGAGAGTTCGAGACCAGCCTGGCCAACATGGTGAAACCCTGTCTCTACTAAAGATACAAAAAATTAGCTAAGCGTTGTGGCACACACCTATAATCCCAGCTACTGGGGAGGCTGAGGCAGGAGAATCACTTGAACCCGGGAGGTGGAGGTTGCAGTGAGCTGAGATTGTGCCATTGTATTCCAGTCTGGGTGACAGGACAAGACTCTGTTTCAAAAAAAAAAAAAAACTGGAATAGGAGGAACAGGGCAAGCTCAGAGCAAAAGAATCAAGAGGCCAGAGCATGGCAGAGCCAGATACGGGCAGTGAGAACTTTTCAACGGCCGAGTAGAATTGGCATCATCAAAGGTTCAGGTAACATTGGCTGTTTAGAAATTCCCTTTAAAAAAAAAAAAAGGAGGAAAAAAAAAAAAAAACCCAGAAACAACCAGTTTAATTGAGGCTTAGATTAGAGTCACAGTTCCACCATTACAGAACCATGGGGCTTGAGAAAACTGCCTTCCTCTCTGCGAGCCTCAGTTGCCCTGTGCATTCAGCTGAAGCCTATATCCATCTCACCTGTCAATGCATGGGGACCAAGGTCTGCAAGGTCAGACTAGGGGGTAAGGTACTAGAAACCCCACGAATGCGTCAGAGCCATCAGACAACATGGCAGTTATGAGTGGGTACCCATGGATTGTTATCTCAAGGCAGGTGACAGAGCAGGTTGGGAGAAAATGACCTCAGGGCATGGGCAGGTGGACGGTATTTAGTAGGGGGAGTTATTCACCCAACACACATCTTCTGGGTTGTTGGTCTATTCAGGACCCAGCGTTCGTGCTTGAAAGAAAGAAATAACGTTCAGCTCCTGCCAGGTGAGTTGTCACAGCACAAAGTGTCAGGCCATTTAAGTGAAGTTTGGAGGGGGCATAAAGGACAGAATGACGAACTCTGCCTGGACAAGCCAGGGAAGGCTTCCTAGAAAGACTCAGCCTAGGCCTCGAAGGATGGATTGATGTGGCCTTGCACCAGGCTCGGGGAGTCAAGATTAAAATTCCAACATACCGTGTATGTGAGTGACCCAGGGAAATACATTTCTCCTTAATTCCTGGAGAGAAAACTAAAAACTTTCTTGACAACTGCAATTGAGGCAGTTTTCTCCGCCTCACAATTTTGTATGGCTAGGCTGCTCCGGCAACCTCTACCAAGTTGTCTACCTGTCCTCACCCTCCTTCACTGCCACTCTGTCACCAGGCTAAGTCTGGTCGGGAGTCACCAACACCAAGAGGGAAGGCACGGCACCCGAGGAGTGTGGTTGGTCAGCACCAGGGACAGAGACACGGCCGTCGCATGCGTCAGTCACCCAGCATGCCGCTCGTATCTAGACCCCCACTGGGGCTTTTATGACCTGTCCTCCGAATCCATATTCAGGGCCACTTTCTCCTCTTATGACATTTTGTGGCACCATTAGCAAACCAGGTGCCAAGTTTTGCTGGATTCAATTCAATGTTTCAGCACTGCACTTGGAGACTTTTTCCAGGTGCCATTTTCCTCCAAACTGACAGGAGCCCCACAGACGCCAGGTATTGTGACACCCTCTGTGAGTGTGGGAGTAGGAGGCTGGAGCCCACTGGGCTCTGATCCTGGGGCCAGAGAGAGAAAAAGGGCAGATGTTTAATTGAAGGCAAGGTTCTCAGGACTCCCATGGGCCTCACCTGAGTCCCAGGCTGATGCTTCCTGCAATCCCCCCTTATAGGAGAGAAGCCCACGGGGCCTTGCTCTGATTGGCTCTGACTCCTCTCTGGCCCTGGGGAGCTACCCCGCTCCCCTAGGAAGCTAGTCCAAATAGCAGAAAGAAGGAGGATCTGCTCACATTTCAGTTAATGGGAGTGAGGGGAATCCTGGTGATGAAGAAAAGTGTCCATCAGTCCAGTCCAGTCCAGTCCCCCAGTCCAAAAGTCAGAGCCTGTGGTGCTCAGCCTGTTGGTGCCACTTTCCTGGTTAGCCACTGTCACTCCATGAGCCACACCAAACAAAGACTTATGCACTGGGCTTGTGACACCTGTCTGTCTCACAGGGTGGTTGGGCAGATCATGGAACCTTACTGGCCCTCCACCCACACTTCTTCATCCCTGTATGCCCTGCTGGACAGAGCAGCCTCATGACATTCCTGAAGTGTCCACTCATTTTAAACTTGGGGCACTTGGCTTTGCTGTCAGTAATTACTCAGTGCATGTTAGCCACTCGTATTGTCATTAGGGCACCTGCTATGCACCAGGCGCTGTGCTAAACATTGGAACTTTAATGGTGGACATGGGAATCCCACTGTCAGCCATCAAATGCCTATATTTTATGATAAGTATTTGCTGACCCATGGTTTCACCCAATAGACAATGGCTTCTCAATGTGCCAGCACCACGGTGCAGCACCACAGCTCACCCACAGGAGGCGCTCCATCTTAGCCAAGCGAATAAAGACAATGGAAAATATTGTGAAAATACTGTAAAGTGCCAAAAGAATGTGAATTGTTATTAACAGGAGAAATACAAAATGTCCTAGCCATTCTGCCACAGATAGGAAAATCAGAAGAAACAGCAGAAAGATGGAAGATCCACTTACGTTTCAGTGAATAGAGTGGTGCCCAACCTTTTTGGTTCCAGGGAACAGTTTCATGCAAGACAATTTTTCCATGGACCAGTGAGGTGATGGGGGAGGGGATGGTTTCAGGATGAAACTGTTCCACCTCAAATTATCAGGCATTAGTTAGATTCTTATAAGGAGCACGCAACCTAGATCCCTCACATGCACTGTTCACAATAGGGTTTGTGCTCCTAGGAAATTTTTTTTTTTTTTTTTTTTTGAGATCGAATCTCGCACTGTCACTCAGGCTGGAGTGTAATGGTGCGATCTTGGCTCACTGGAACCTCTGCCTCCCAGGTTCAAGTGATTCTCCTGCCTCAGCCTCTCCAGTAGCTGGGATTATAGGCACCTGCCACCACACCTGGCTAATTTTTTGTGTTTTTAGTAGG